AGTTGCTTTCCAAAGGGCATGCAGGGGAAACAAAATATAATTCTCTGTGTGTTCAAATACACAAGTCATTTGCAATCTACTGTTTCTTCATTAGGTAGAGCTTTATTGAATAAACCGCCTCCTGTCACTAGATGTTGACAGAGTGAAATCTGTATCTTTCCATTGTTGTGGTTCATGTTCTAAAAAACAAAACCTCAGTTCATGTCATGTTAGTCCACAAATATAGATTATTAATATTTATTCTCAATGAAGCAGTGGCATTTTTCTTAATGTTTGTTTCAGAAAAATCATTTACATTGGTATTGCTAATGCTGGAGTGAAGTGTCAAGATCAGAGTTGTAATTCTTAATTTCAAAATTAGAGTCTACCACAGTTGTTAAATTGATGGCATTAACTCCTCTGGCTCAGTGACTTAAACTTGTTGTCAAGATCATACCTAAGTCACTGATCTTTGTCAGCCAGTTCTGCCACTATAAAAAAAAAAAGCTTACATGTTTCCTCTTCTCTCTCTGTTTCTCATCTATTTTTTAATTTGAATGGTTTCTTTGAAGACATTTTGCTTATTTATTTATTGAGTTTTCACTCTGTATTAAAAGTTTCCTACATTGCAGCACGTACCACCTACAAGTGCCAACACAAAAAAAAAGTTTTTATGTCAATGTGGCCTGTTACTTGAATTCCCTTTTTAATGCAGAGGCTTGTGTGATTTTTGTAACATGCTAGGAGGCACCAAAGGTTCTATTATAATTGAAAGTGCTAATAGCTAACAAATGAAAACATTGAAAGCCACAAAACAAAATTATTACTTGGGTGGCAATGCTTTTCAGTCATTTTTTGAACTTCTATGGCTTTGCATTTTAACTTTTCACCATTATCAAATAAAACTAAGGACTGGAAAAATTGTTCCCACTTATTAGTCAAAATGATTAGAATCTTGACTTAGAATGAACTAAATAATTGATGTTGAAAACCTATGCCAGATTAAACAAGAGACAAAGCATTGGTAAGTTGAACTAGAAATTCATATTGTTTTGATAAGAATTCATGAAACTCAAAATTCTTTGTGAAAGTCACGGGAAGCTCTTCATACCAAGATATGGAATATTCATAAATACTTGGTCATGTTTAACCCTGTCATCATGTAACACCTTAAAAATATCCAGAAGCATTATTTAGCCAAGGACTTGCAAAATGAGTTGACTTAATTTGTTGTCCAGTGAGATACAAATTGATGTACTGATCTTTGCAAGGAATGCCAAGTATTATTCATACGTGCTCAACTGCACTCTAGACATTATGAGTAACTGTTTACATGGGAATGGAATCTTTAAGTAAGAAGACAATTTTAACTTGTAAAATTGGGATTCAAAACTGAACTAGATTAAAACAACCTTCAGTTGAACTGATTCACACCTTGTGTCTCTGAACCTGACATTAAAACTATTTAAGCTTACTTGCATCGTACTATTTTTTCAAGAAGAAGGTGTAAGCATGAAAGAATTTTTACGGAAAATTAACTAACGACCAGAGATGTAACAAATTGGTGTCAGAAAGTGGGATAAAAAAGAGAAGATGGAAACGAGAAGTGGCAAATCAAACTACAGCTTAGTAAATTTGATGGCAGCAAAACAAGAACTGCAAAAGAAACAAGAAGAACGAGAAAATAAACAAGAAGAAAGACAACACCTTGATGGCACCTAATTAGTTCAACCTCTCTTTTAACAGTTACTGGAACTTGGCCTTTTTGTTCCCAAATGTCATTTTATCAAAATTAATTACAAACTTCCTCGATAGTAAGTAGTCCAATCCTAATATGCATTTGTCTTCAATGTCAGCCAAGCATACTTTGTGTCTGTCCTTTATGCCCATGAGCTGAATAGTTACCCACACTGGTCCCCACAAAGCTTCTGTATGACTTCTGGTACTCCTTCATGATCTAACACCTTGATGCTCACAAGGGTTTGTTGAGATGCAGAATCTATGACAAAGTTGCACCTTTGGCCATCCAGCTTTCCTGTCACATAGACACTGTGTGTGCTTGGCATTTTACACCTAGCTGTTCGGACTTTCATGATGGGGGTTGGTGGGCGTCGCTCAACACCAACCACTACTGGTCTCCTTGAGGCCGACTTGTTGGTAATATTCTTCCTACACTGGCTCCTCAAATGTCCGTGCTTTCCACAGTTCCAACAACCTTTCTGGATACCAGTCTTTCATGCTGTGGCACCTCCCCTGTGTTGAAGTTTCCAGCATTGAGCTCTCTTGTGTCCAGGTTTGTTACAGTGCCAGAAAAGCCCCTCAAACCTCTCTGAAAGCTGACCTTTTCTGGCCTTGAATCCAGATGATTGTACCAACTTTGGTACCTCTGTGCTGGACTTAACGTAGGATTCAAATTCGAGAGCTCTGGCTATTGCATCATGCATGGTAGAGGGGTGTGCTTGCTTCACTTGTATCATAAGTTGTGGACCGTCTAAGGCATCTACGAACTGATCCCTCAGCAACAACTTGAGGAGATCAGGTGGTGCATTTGGGTAGGCCTTGTATGCCATGCTTTCCAAGTCTTGTGCCAGCTCTTGCAGGCTCTCCCCTTTAGCACGGATTCTCGTCCTAAACCTTGCCCTGTAGACTTCTGACTAATTCCGGGTTCCGTACCTGAGTTCCAGAGCCTGTACCAGTGCTCTATAGTTGTGTCTGTCAGCTGCTGTCAACTGTCCAAGTATTTTCAGTGTTTGTC